AGCGGGAGGACAATGGGATGAGGAGAGAGGGGCCGGGGGACCTGCCCAGCCCGTTCCAGCCAGAGGGGGAACAAAGGAGGCTCAGGCGGCCTGTTTACCTGGGACAGGAGACAAAGGACAGGGGAGGAGCTGTTAGGGGAGGGGATATAGAGGGCTCAGCTGGAAGGAGGGGAGAGCAGCCAGAGCCCCCTGGATGTTCTGTGCTGAGACTGGCCAGGCTCGAGGCCCCAGAGAACTGCCTGGGCTGGGCTCCTGTGTGACGCTGGATGAGAGCCACTGCAGGCGTGGGGGGAGGAGACATTGCTCCCTCGGGATGGAGGCCCCGGGGGCCCAGAGCGAGGGGGCTCCCTGAGGGGGCCCACGGCAGAACCAGGCATGCTGGAGGCTCAGAGGTACAGTCCCAGGAGGCGCAGGGCCAGAGGGCCTACCCTTGGCAAGAGAGCGGCCTTCCTGAAAGGCCATCACGCTGGGGGGGTTACTCCCGGGGCCCCACGGAGCCGAGAGAAGGCACGAGTCCTGTGAGTCCATGACACCCCCCCACCCCACAGGGCCCAGGCCGAGAGGAGACACCGCCCCCCCATGCCCCATCTGCGCTGCAGCCCTCGCTACGCCAGGCGTGCTGCATTTCGCTCAACGTTTGCCAGCCAGCACCTCCGGCCGGCGTTTCCCATTCTCACATTAACACACACCGAAGGTTTCGGGTGGGTTCCAGCGGGGCCCAGCGTCTCTGCAGTGAGCTGGGAGTCGCTAGATAACCCGCCCAGCCAGCGCCGAGAGCTCTTTGGGGCTTTCCCCAGGCCTGGGTCGGTTTAACTCCGCCACAAGGGGTGTAAATACACACACACACACCCCTGTGGGGCAGAGAAACATTTCCCCCCCCGGCACACTGTCGAGTCGCTGCAGCTGCTGGGGGGCAGACTGCCGAGCCGGTGGGGGGCGCCGGCACAGGAGCGCTGCAGGCACACAGCCGGGGCTTTGCAGGGCAGACGAGGACCCATGGGGCAGGTTGGGGGGGTTCTGGGTGCTCACAAAAGCCAATTCGCACTGAGGTTCATCGTGCTGCCTCTGCCCAACCGGGCCTTTTCCTAGAACCTCTCCCGGCCCCCCAGCGCAGAGCATGACACTGCCTCCCGCCCTGCCTGCAGACAGGCAGCCGCAGCTCCTCCAGCCCAGACCCAGGTCGCCCCACCTCCTCCTTGCGTGCCACGTGGCAGATGTGCACGGGGCGCTGGTACAGCTGGGCCACCATGAGAATGGCCGCCACCGTCTGCTTCTCCGCGTGTGCCACGATGGGCAGGTGCCTCGGCCACTGCTCGAAGTGCTGGGGGGAGAGAGCAGAGCTGGGGGGGACCAACAGTTGTACCGGGGGAGGGGCAGAGCCTGGCACGAGGGGAGGGACAGACAGACAGCAACACTGGGGGAGCGAGGTCAGGGGGAAGAGAACAGCATTTGGGGGGACAAGACAGACGGACAGTGGCTGCCCTGTTGGCTGGGGGAGGACGGGGGGGGCACGACAGATGGATAGCAGTGCTGGGGGAGGGTTGGGGGGCAGAGCACAGCACATGGGGGCGGGGGGGACAGGACAGACGGACAGCGGCTGCAATGCAGGCTGGGGGAGGAGGGTGTCCCCACTGCAGATGCAGAGGGCAGGCTGGGCCCTCAGCCCCCGGTGGGCGCTGTGCTGCTGGCGCCAGGAATGGGGCTGGACCCCCCAACCCTTCCCGCAGGACCCACCTCCATCCACAGCGAGACGTTGTTCATCTTGAGCTCGGAGAAGGTGTCGTTCAGGTACATCTTGAGCCCGG